AGAAGATAGAGGTATGGGTGTGTGTGGGAAACAGTCAGGTTGCAACACTAGGGTTGTAAACAGGAAATGTATAAAAGACATTCATCATGAAGTTATAAATAAAGACAACAGATCATGTCAGCAAACAAAGGGAGACAGCAGAGGGCAGCAAGGGACTAGCTCCCTTAAGGTCTATTATACAAATAGCAGGAGTGTAAGAAATAAGATAGATGAGCTAAGATTAATTGCAAGTGCAGGAAACATAGATATCATTGCTATAACGGAGACCTGGCTCAATCTGAAAGATAGAGAGATGCCTTCTGAATGTCACATACAAGGCTATAAATTATTCCACACTGACAGGGCCAACAGGGAAGGTGGTGGAGTAGCGATGTACGTCAGAGACAATTTAAAGTGTTGTGTTAGACAAGATATAAAATTAGAAGCGTCAGCCACTGAATCTGTTTGGTTACAGCTTCTCGAGGGCCGTGAAAAACTAATTTTGGGTGTGATTTACAGGGCCCCAAATCTTGATAGGGAGTGCGGTAAACTTCTTTGGGGTGAAATTCGTAAGGCCGCTACATATGGAAATGTTGTGATAATGGGAGATTTCAACTATAGACAGATTGACTGGAGCAATTTGACAGGAAATTTAGAATCAAGTGACTTTCTTGATACGATTCAGGATTGTTTTTTAAAGCAGTTTGTGACAGAGCCAACTAGAGGAAATAACCTGCTTGACTTGGTTCTTGCCAGCAGGGAAACGCTAATTAATAATCTTGAGGTTAATGATGAGCTCGGGGAAAGTGATCACAAATCACTCAGTTTTAATATATCATGGAATTCCCCTAATAATGGCAATCAAGTCTCTGTCCCTGACTACCGCTTGGCTGATTTCATAAGACTGAAAAATTGCTTGGGTGGGCTGAACTGGAATGACCTGACTAAGGGTCAGGTAGGTGGTGATGGTTGCCGATATGACGTTTTCCAGAGCATAGTTCTAGCTGCTCAGACAACTTATGTTCCAAATAAGGAAATCAAATCAAGCAAAAATGATCCTAAATTGATGAACAATAGATTAAAACATCTCATTGGTCAAAAGAGAGGCATATATAGGCAAATAAAAAGAGGAGAGGTGCAATTAAGAAATCAATATATTCAGTTAAAGAGAGAAATAAAAAAGGGAATAAGAAAAGCAAAAAGAGATTATGAGGTTAAAGTTGCAAGAGAATCGAAGACTAACCCAAAAGGATTCTTTCAGGTATACAGAAGTAAGATCAGGGACAAGATAGGCCCACTCAAAAGTTCCTCGGGTCAGCTCACAGACAGTGATAAGGAAATGTGTAGAATTTTTAACACATACTTCCTCTCAGTTTTTACTCAGGAAGATACTAGCGATATTCCAGAAATAATAAATTATGTAGAACAGGATGATAAACTGTGCACTATTAGGGTCACAAGTGGCATGGTTCTTAGGCAAATTGATAAATTAAAACAACAAATCCCCAGGCCCTGATGAACTGTATGCAAGGGTTCTGAAGGAATGTAAAGAGGAACTTAGCAAACCTCTGGCTAATCTTTTCAACATATCACTACAAACTGGCATGGTGCCAGATAAGTGGAAAATGGCAAATGTGATACCTATTTACAAAACAGGTGACAGGTCCTTAGCTTCGAACTATAGACCAGTAAGCCTAACTTCCATTGTGGGAAAATTTATGGAATCAATAATTGCCGAGGCAGTTCGTAGCCACCTTGAAAAGCACAAATTAATCAACGAATCTCAGCATGGTTTTACAAAAGGGCGTTCCTGCCTTACGAATTTATTAACTTTTTTCACTTAGGTATTTGAGGAGGTAGATCATGGTAATGAATATGATACTGTGTATATGGACTTCAGTAAGGCTTTTGACAGGGTCCCACATCAGAGACTATTGAGGAAAATTAATGCACATGGAATAGGAGGAGAATTTTTTTCCTGGATATAGGCATCGTTGACAAATAGGCAGCAGAGAGTTTGCATAAATGGGGAGAAATCAGAGTGGGGAAGCGTCACGAGCGGTGTTCCACAGGGGTCAGTGTTCGGCCCCCTGTTGTTCACAATCTACATAAACGACATTGATGAGGGCATAAAGAGCGACATCGGCAAGTTTGCCGATAACACCAAAATAGGCCGTCGAATTCATTCTGACGTGGACATTAGAGCACTCCAGGAAGATTTGAATAGACTGATGCAGTGGTCGGAGAAGTGGCAGATGCAGTTCAATATAGACAAATGCAAAGTTCTAAATGTTGGACAGGAAAATAACCATGTAACATATAAACTAAATAATGTCGATCTTAATATTACGGATTTTGAAAAAGATTTAGGAGTTCTGGTTAGTAGTAATCTGAAACCAAGACAACAGTGCATAAGTGTTCGCAATAAAGCTAACAGAATCCTTGGCTTCATATCAAGAAGCATAAATAATAGGAGTCCTCAGGTTGTTCTTTAACTCTATATATCCTTGGTTAGACCTCATTTAGATTATGGTGCACAGTTTTGGTCACCGTATTACAGAATGGATATAAATGCTCTGGAAAACATACAAAGGAGGATGACAAAGTTGATCCCAAGTATCAGAAATCTTCCCTATGAGGATAGACTGAGGTCCCTGAATCTGCACACTCTAGAAAGGCGTAGAATTAGGGGGGATATGATTGAGGTGTATAAATGGAAGACAGGAATAAATAAAGGGATGTAAATAGCGTGCTGAAAATATGTAGCCTAGACAGGACTCGCAGCAATGGTTTTAAGTTGGAAAAATTCAGATTCAGGAAGGATATAGGAAAGCACTGGTTTGGTAATAGAGTTGTGAATGAGTGGAACAAACTCCCGAGTACAGTTATTGAGGCTAAAACGTTGTGTAGTTTTAAAAATAGGTTAGATAAATACATGAGTGGGTTTGGGTGGGTGTGAGTTGGACCTGACTAGCTTGTGCTACAGTTTTCGTGTTCCTTCCTTAAGTGAATGTGACCTGACCTGACTAGGTTGGGGCATTGGCTTAAGCCGGTAGGAGACTTGGACCTGCCTTGCATGGGCCAGTGGGCGTGCTGCAGTGTTCCTTCTTTCTTATGTTCTCATGTAACTGATCACATTTTGTCGGTCCGGGACCCCGCACATACATGTCTGGACCTCTATTAGTTGTGATCTGAGTATATTGTTTTTGATATGGTGATATTTTGTATCAGATCATCATTGTTAGTGAAGATGAGGTCCAGTGTAATCTTCAATCTTGTTGGCTCTATTATTTCTTGCATCCACGAAGACGAGACGTTTTAAGTCAGAGTCCAGCTACAAGTGCTGTTACAACTCCAGTGTTGTTATGGGACGTTTAATGATACAAGAGGAACTCATGCGTCATTAAACTCGGCGTCAGTCAGGTAATTCTCCCGATAACTGACCATCCGTGGCAGACGACACAGGATGATGTATTCCTGCTGGCAGTCGAATGTGGACTATCCTCACTCTCCTGACTTTCCTTCGTTAAACCTTAAAGCGTTTATTCACTAATTTAATTTCAGTTTATCTGACGTCGATTCTTAATATTGTATGTTCATATTCACTAAGTAGTTAGTCATTCTTTTAATTCAGTGTTCTGTATAGTTATTCATTATTTTGAGATTAAGACACATGTGCAACATCTGGGTATCTTTATTGTAGACGTTTCGCCATCCAGTGGCTTTATCAATACAAATTCTAGGACATAACTTGAAGAAGAGCACCATAGTCGTGGAGATTCTGAATCTCCACGACTATGGTGCTCTTCGCGCCTACTCCTAGGTTGAGGGACTGATTACCTCATCTTCTGTACATAGTTCTACTGTCTTCAAGTTATGTCCTAGAATTTGTATTGATAAAGCCATCGGGTGGATGGCGAAACGTCTACAATAAAGATACCCAGATGTTGCACATGTGTCTTAATCTCATCTTGTCGGTATTATATACCATTCGTACACAATTCATTATTTTAACATGTAACAGTTTAAATTATTTTAGTTATTAAAAAATCTACAAATCCTGGATTTTATATTGATCACTTAGTTAATTTCGTGTTGGCTGCCTATTGATGATTTAGGCAGCATGACATATGAGGCGTCTGATGTACACACCATCCTAGTGCGTTGTTATCATGGAATAAGTGTGTTAGTTCGTTAATTAGTTATCTCACATTATTTAGTCTGGTAAAATTAATGTTTTCCACTAATAATATCCTCCTTACTGGCTACTATAAATACCTTAATTACCACCTTAATTATCCTGACAGGCGATGGGTCTTATTTTTGAGATCGCAGTTCTCTTACTCAGTTTCTGTAGATTTTATACATATTTTACGTATAAAAACGTGAGACGTGTATCAGTAATACTGTGAAAAGTTCGGCCATTTGGCCAAGTACATTCTCTTTCGTCTCTCTTGTCGGAGTTTGTTGGTTTGAACCTTCAGCGTTGTGAAATAATAATAATAATAATAATAATAATAATATAATAATAATAATATCTTTATTTACTACAAGTACATGTACAAGGTATACAGTCCTAACTGACATCAGTGACATACTACTATATAGAAAGCCGCTTGTTATACTCAGCATTTCGGGCAAATTAGGTCAGTGTCCCAGGATGCGACCCACACCAGTCGACTAACACCCAGGTACCTATTTTACTGGTGTAAAGAAACACCCCCAGTGTTTCTACTCTGGCTGGAAATCGAACCCAGGCCCTCGCCGTGTGAAGCGAAAGCGTTAGTCACCAGGCCATATATATTAGAACAGTGAGACTATACAGTGCAGGAGAAAACAAAAACTTAAAAGGGATTATAGAAGAGGAGAGAAAAAACGAAATGGTAAACACGGACAAATATAATATCAACCTTCCACTATATCATCATTTACAAACAGACCGGGCCGCGGGGGCGTTGACCCCCGGAACTCTCTCCAGGTAAACTCCAGGTTTTCTTTGATTTGTGTGTATGTTTGTACAGGATCGGACCAGGGGAGCAGAATGTGGAGGAACGACTGTGGCACCTCGGGTGGAAGGAGTACCTGTCGTCAGGTCACCAGGTAGTACACGCCAAGGTGGAGCTGTGGGGCGGCGACCCCTCCACCAGAGCCTCCACACACACCCTGGCAAAGTACCAGTCCAGAGTTATACAGTGAGTTGCTTCTCAACACTACAAGCTCTTTAAAAGGCACCTAAGTTCCCTCATCTTCTGATAACATGTTCATTTTTCCACCATAATCTACCTTGTCCATAATTACTATCGCATTTGTTTTGTCTCTTTCGTGAAGTCTAAGATCTTTCCTTAATTTGAGAACGATTATGTTGTAGAGGTCTGAGCTCAGACCTCTACAACATAATTGTCCTCAAAGTAAAATTATACCACGAATTAAGGAAAGATCCTGGACTTCACGAAACAGACAAAACAAATGCGATAGTAATTATGGACAATGTAGTTATGGTGTTATTAGAAGATGAGGGAACTTAGGTGCTCTTGAAGTTCCACTAGATCAGTTCCAGACATTGCATTGTATGGAACTGATTTTGCTCACACGGTATGGGAGGCTCGATCCTTCGTCTTCTAGTAGCGACTCGGTCTCTGGTGAGCCAGGCTGTACACACTATTTTCAAGAGAAACTAGAAAGAGAAGGTTGTGATTAAACGATTTAGAAAACCGAGAAATTGATGAGACACTTGTGTAACATTTGGGTATCCTTAGTCTGAAAACGTTTGCCATACAGTGGCTTCTTCAGTCCGATGCAGAGAAAGGTGGAAGATGTGTAGGAGTTGGAGGTAATCAGTCCCTGAGCCTGGAGTCAATATGTTCAAGAACATAATGGGAAGACTGTAGAACTATGTACAAAAGAAAAGCACCGTAGCGTGGTGCTCCTCACCAACTCCGAGGCTGAGACACTCATTACATCCTCTTGATTTTTTTTTTACTCTTTCCCATTATGTTCTTGAATTTGTGTTGATAAAGCCACTGGATGGCGAAACGTCTGCAAAGAAAGAAACTCAGATGTTGCACGTGTGTCTAATTCATCAATTTTACGAATGCTTGTATTGCATTGTATTGCTGACCAAGTTTACATTACATGTTAAGTTTCAAGAGGAGAATTAAAATTGTGTGTTGATAATAATATGTATTTATCTACAGTTGATAATTAGACCAATATTAGTAACTTTCCTAGATGATGCTAAAAATTATGCAACTATATATATTTCCTCATGAACATTTAGAAAATACTGAAAATTATATTTCAGTTAGTGATTAGCATGGCATGTTTGTTTTACAGGAAGATGCTGAGTCAGTTCACCTTCCTGGACAGAGTGAACGTTGGTGTGTGGGGTTGGGGTTCTGGAGCCTCACTAGCCCTGGATGCTGCTGCCCTGGCCCCTGACCTGCTGAAGTGTGTAGCTGCAGTCAACCCAGTGGTCGACTGGCGTGCCCATGGTCAGTGAAATATTCACCCAGACCTGTGTACAAGTAGGATACAATGTGAACTGTTATTGTTTTAAGTGGGGTGATACCCAGCATGATACAGTACTCCAGTAGTTGCTTAGCCAGCGAGTAGGTCATCATATGACCAAGAACAGCTTCAGGAGATATTTCACCTGACGAAGAAAATACTACCACCGAGCAGTCAGCTTCGTCCAGACGCAGTGCAGAATTATCATACTGTATATATATATATTTTTTACATTGGAGAGCCTTAACTGATCGTTATATATTCTTTTATGAAAAAATACTATTGTGAAAATAGTAAATAAAACTTGAGCACTTTCATGTGCTTACACATCTTCAGAGGATGTGTGTAAGTACATGAAAGCGTTCAGGTTTTATTTCCTATTTTCACTTTGGTATCTTTTTCATATTCGCAATCACGCTTTTTATTGTGATTTCTTCCATATAGTTTTATATGCATCAATTTTTTTTTCTAATATTAACAGATTGTACATATCCGCACCTGCCTCTTCCTAGGACAGTGCCTCCATCAATATGAATTTTGTTAATTTTTTTTTAACAAGTCGGCCGTCTCCCACCAAGGCAGGGTGACCAAAAAAGAAAAAAAATCCCCAAAAAGAAAATGCTTTCATCATCATTCAACACTTTCACCTCACTCACACATAATCACTGTTTTTGCAGAGGTGCCCAGAATACAACAGTTTAGAAACATATATGAAGATACACAACATATCCCTCCAAACTGCCAATATCCCAAACCCCTCCTTTAGAGTGCAGGCATTGTACTTCCCATTTCCAGGACTCAAGTCTGGCTATTTAAAAATAACCGGTTTCCCTGAGTCCCTTCCCTAAATATTACCCTGCTCACCCTCCAACAGCTCGTCAGGTTCCAAATACCATTCGTCTCCATTCACTCCTATCTAACACGCTCATGCACGCTTGCTGGAAGTCCAAGCCCCTCGCCCACAAAACCTCCTTTACCCCCTCTCTCCAACCTTTCGAGGACGACCCCTACCCCGCCTTTCTTCCCCTATAGATTTATATGTTTTCCATGTCATTCTACTTTGATCCATTCTCTCTAAATGACCAAACCACCTCAACAACCCCTCTTCTGCCCTCTGACTAATACTTTTATTAACTCCACACCTTCTCCTAATTTCCACACTCCGAATTTTCTGCATAATATTTACACCACACATTGCCCTTAGACAGGACATCTCCACTGCCTCCAACCGTCTCCTCGCTGTTGCATTCACAGCCCAAGCTTCACACCCATATAAGAGTGTTGGTAATACTATACTTTCATATATTCCCTTCTTTGCCTCTATAGATAACGTTTTTTGACTCCACATATACCTCAACGCACCACTCACCTTTTTTCCTTCATCAACTCATCAACTCCTAAATATCTGAAAACATTCACTTCTTCCATACTCCTCCTCCCCAATTTGATATCTAAATTTTTCTTTATCTAAATCATTTGATACCCTCATCACCTTACTCTTTTCTATGTTCACTTTCAACTTTCTACCTTTACACACACACTCCCAAACTCGTTCACTAACCTTTGCAGTTTTTCTTTAGAATCCCATAAGCACAGTATCATCAGCAAAAAGTAACTGCGTCAATTCCCATTTTGTATTTGATTCCTCATAATTTAATCCCACCCCTCTCCCGAACACCCTAGCATTTACTTCTTTTACAACCCCATCTATAAATATATTAAACAACCATGTGACATTACACATCCCTGTCTAAGACCTACCTTTACCGGGAAGTAGTCTCCCTCTCTTCTACACACCCTAACCTGAGCCTCACTATCCTCATAAAAATCTTTACAGCATTTAGTAACTTCCTTCCTATTCCATATACTTTGTTAAATATACGATAAAATATTTTCCGTTCTTCTGTACAACTAACAATGTTAACATTGCAGTAACTAATAGTAGGCTGTTAGACCTAGAATGTATAAATTGTTGTAACTAATCTAAAATGGAAATGCATATTTCGAGTTATGCCCTCTAACACCTTCCTGCAATAGGTTCGTTCTGGGCAGAGCGTCAGCTGGGGTCAGCTGAGAGTGAGGGGTCGGGGCGTCGTTATGAGGACAGTGACCTGACCCGTCTGGCACCTCATCTAGGTGCCAACCGCGTCCTGCTGGCCCATGGCACCCGGGATCCAGCCGCGCACCACGCCTTTCTCATGGCACACGCCCTCATCTCCCAGGAGTCCTACTTCACTCATGTGGTAGGTTACGTCTGCTACATACACTCTCCCACATCAACACATCCACATCACACATCCGACAAAAATACAAGTACCAACGTTTCTTTCTACGTAAAACTGTATCAAGTCATGATGAAGCTGTATACAGAACGTAACTCATGCCCTCTTACTATACGACAGGCGGAGATCACCCAAACTATATAATCTTGTATTGCAGCCTTAACCTGTAAGATCACAAACCGCAGATACATCTTCTTATAGCAGAAGTATATTTTTCTTACTTATTCCAGTTGAAGATACCATGTGACGTCGAGTAATGACACTGGTTCTAAGTCTTTGTTAGTAGTGTTGTAAGACGACCTTGCTAGCCAGTTAATTCCTCCCAAGATGTAGCTAACAGTGTTGGGCAGGATGTGTCTAGTATTTTAGGAATATTTACAGCGCTTCGAATTTAAGAAAGGATTCATATTTATTTGATGCTGTTGTAATGTGAAGCGAGTCTTGTGCAGTGACGAGAGCGGGTGTTGTGCAGTGACGGAGCGGGTGTTGTGCAGTGACGGAGCGGGTGTTGTGCAGTGACGGAGCGGGTGTTGTGCAGTGACGGAGCGGGTGTTGTGCAGTGACGTAGCATTAGGACCTGACAGCAGCGCTTGACGTACTTAATATTGTGTTTTAGGTTAGATGTGCAATATAGTTTTAATTAGTGCAGGTGAATGCTGTGACTTGGCTGATCTCGCATCATCGTTGATACGATGGATCACATCAACGAACTCAATTAAAAACTACAAAGAAAGGACATTTATGACAAAAAATTACTGTATGTGCAGGCGAAAATAAGGTGTTCACGCTACACATTTTCAACTTTACTGATTATAACGAGCACCTGTAATGTGATCGATTGATTTGAGTGCCATTTCCAATTAAAAAAAGATGCTTGAATGAGCGTTTGAATATAGAGTCAAATAATGTGACGTAGACGATTTCTTGAATGAGAAACTAGATAGTTAGGTAAAATTCATCAGAAAACAGGACGAGTGTTTCTGACGTAGGGTCTTTAGTTGAATGATGGCCCGCCACTGCGTGCAGCTTTGTCATCTGACCGAGCGCTTGCAGAGAGCGTTGTCTACGGGGGTGCCGTACACTTTAAAATTGAGTACTTGTTTTATGATGAAAATAGATCAAGTGCAAAGCTTAGATGTGCTACATGTATGACAACTTGCACATAACGCACTTAAAAAAAATGAAGGAAAAAGGACTAAAATAATACTTCTTGTAGTGGTCAGGCAGAAAATAAGGTGTCACCTCACATTTCAACTTTACTGATTATAACGAGCACCTGTAATGTGATTCATTGATTTTGTGGCCATTTCCAAAATTAAAAAATTATGCTTAATGAGCTTTTGAATTATTAGAGTCAAATAAATGTGACTAGACATTTTCTTTAATGAAAACTAGATCAAGTTAGGTAAAATTCATCAGAAAACAGGACAAGTGTTTCCTGACGAGGGTCTTAGTTTATGATGGCCCGCCACTGCAGCTTTTGGTCATCTGACCGAAGCCTTCAGAAGGCTTACTCGTCCGTCACTTTAAAAATTGGTATTTTTTATGATGAAAATAGACAAGTCAAAGCTTAGATGTGCTACGAGTGATGGACAACTTGCAGCAGTAATCTGGACTGTAAGAAAATGAGGCAACACAGGACTTTAATACTGAAAGTACTGCTTGCATTTTCATCAATATTTCCAATGTATAAATAGAAAACATGAATTTAAGCTATTATTAAATATTTAAATTTTTACATGCATAAAGTGTGTGGCACGCGAAGCTTATGTAAGCTGGTGATGCGGCACAACAGTCATGATGAGTGACCACTTCTGCTGTGACCGCAAGAAGCGCACACATGTCATAAGTAAGATACTTGTGCAACACCTTGTTAACCAAACCTTCGCCTGCGCGTCGCACTTTTCCAGTCGAATATAGAGGTGACTCTTATACTGGAAACAACGGAAGACGTGGAGAGATCATTCTAATTAACCTTGATGGAAGGTGTTGATTTCATAGCCTAGATAGAAAGTGTACGACTCCCTTAGCCATGATCTATGTAGAGCAGAGGCTTGAGGATAGTGACTTTCATACAGGTGCCTGGTGAGAGGTGCAACAGTTTAATGGACGTGACTGACTCACTTGTGTCGTCAATCAGACGGCAGGTTATAGTCCCCTCCCCCCCCCCCTCCTCCGGGGTATTTTCCAGATTCTTTGGGTCATGAATCTGTTCGATCTCAAAGCAAGGCAAAACAAAATTCCAGGGTACCCCCCCCCCTTCCATGAAACCCTGTAGGCCTATGAAAATTGCATGCTCCCGTTGTGATACATATCGTAGTAACCAAATAAGATACAGTCATGAATGATTCATCATTTAATGTTTTAATGTGTGAGGAATCACGGTAAGACCGAGTTAGAAATCATGGAGGGGTCGATTCTAGGCTCCCTATTTGTAGATGAATGGTTCAGAGAACCGACACGTTGATAAATTAGACACACGTGCAAATCTTGGGTATCTTGGGTATCTATTCAAGATTGATGGACTGACCACATCGACTCGAGGTTGAGGGACTGATTACCTCATTCTCCTCCTGTTCTTCAAGATTCTTCTTTGTATAGACTGATGAAGCCACTGTGTGGCGATACGTTTCCTCAGTAAAGATACCCAAGATTTGCACATGTGTCTAATTTATCAGGCCCCCTATTTGTTGCAAAACAAGTATAACTTCGGAATTACAGCTCCTGGCACCCCGGCTCATCTTGCCATTCTTGTGACTTGTTTCTTAGGTTGAACTCGAAGGCAGAAAATACTGCAATCTGTCCTTTCGGAAATTCTACCCGCACTTCTTGTGCCATCTGGCTTTTTGCTTAATGAAGACGTCAGTGGAGCATAAGTCATATGTCAGTCTTTCTACAAGAATTTCCCCAGCAGCTTGGCATGATAGTAAGTCAGTGAGAAAGGCTTCATAAGCCTTAATTAATGTCCTCCTTATGATCTACTGAGAGCTGGACAAAGAATCACATTAAATACTTGAAGTTACAGTGGTACAACAGTACTCTCACAGTACATCAGTATAGGAAATACGGACCTACAAACTAAATGAAATCAAATTATACTAAAGTTAACATAACCTAACAAACAAACCAAATCAAGTCTAAGTACTAACATTGTTAACGTAGTGAGCGTGAATACATAGAGTAAACCTGAGTTGTGATGCAGACTGCGTGTTAACCAGCCGTTGGTCTGTCTGCACAACACCTGAAGCAACTCCCCAGAGACTGGATAGAGTTGACTGTTTATATTAGTTGCCTCGGGTGTTCTCTTCGCCTTCCATCAAGTGTATGTTATTTTATAAATTATCTAAAGAGTCCCCCTCCCCACCATCCCCACCCCCTCCCTTCCTCCCCACCATCCACGCCCCCTCCCTTCCTCCCCACCATCCTCACCCCCTCCCTTCTTCCCCACCATCCCCACCCCTCTCCTTCCTCCCCACCATCCTCACACATACCCTCCTCCCCACCATCCTCACACTCCCCTCGTCCCCACCATCCTCACACTCCCCTCCTCCCCACCATCCTCACACTCCCCTCCACCCCACCATCCTCACACTCCCCTCCACCCCACCATCCTCACACTCCCCTCCACCACCACCATCCTCACACTCTCCCTCCTCCCCACCATCTCACACTCCCCCCCTCTCCCACCATCCTCACACACCCCTCCTCCCCACCATCCTCACACTCCCCTCCTCCCCACCATCCCTCACACCCCTCCTCCCCACCATCCTCACACCCCCCTCCTCCCCACCATCCTCCACTCCCCTCCTCCCCACCATCCTCACACTCCCCCCTCCTCCCCACCATCCTCACGCCCCTCCTCCCCACCATCCTCACACTCCCCTCCTCCCCACCATCCTCACACCCCCCTCCTCCCCACCATCCTCACACTCCCCTCCACCCCACCATCCTCACATCCCCTCCTCCCCACCAACCTCACACCCCCCTCCTCCCCAACCATCCTCACACTCCCCTCCTCCCACCATCCTCACACTCCCCCCCTCCCCACCATCCTCACGCCCCTCCTCCCCACCATCCTCACACTCCCCTCCACCCCACCATCCTCACACTCCCCTCCTCCCCACCATCCTCACACTCCCCTCCTCCCCACCATCCTCACACTCCCCTCCCCCACCATCCATCACACCCCTCCTCCCCACCATCCTCACACTCCCCCCTCCCCACCATCCTCACACCCCTCCCCCAACCATCCTCACAACCCCCCTCCTCCCCACCATCCTCACACTCCCCTCCTCCCCACCATCCTCACACTCCCCTCCTCCCCACCATCCTCACGCCCCTCCTCCCCACCATCCTCACACATCCCCTCCTCCCCACCATCCTCACACACCCCCTCCTCCTCCACCATCCTCACACTCCCCTCCACCCCACCATCCTCACACTCCCCTCCTCCCCACCATCCTCACACCCCCCTCCTCCCCACCAACCTCACACTCCCCTCCTCCCCACCATCACCTCACACTCCCCTCCTCCCCACCATCCTCACGCCCCTCCTCCCCACCATCCCACACATCTCCCTCCTCCCCACCATCCCACACCCCCCTCCTCCCCACCATCCTCACACTACCCCTCCACCCCACCATCCTCACACTCCCCTCCTCCCCACCATCCTCACACCCCCCTCCTCCCCACCACCCTCACACCCCCTCCTCCCCACCATCCTCACACTCCCCTCTTCCCCCCCATCCTCACACCCCCCTCCCCCCCCCCATCCTCACACCCCTCCTCCCCACCATCCTCAAAACCCCCCTCCCCCCCACCATCCTCACACCCCCCTCCCCCCCCACCCCACCCCCCCCACCCCCCCTCCCCCCCCCCTCCCCCACCATCCCAACCCCCCCCTCCCCACCACCCTCACACTCCCCCCCTCCCCACCATCCTACCCCTCCTCCTCCCCCCCC